GTGAGATTAAATAAGGGTTTCATAAAAAATAATCTTATATAGATTAAATATATGAATAATTAAAAAATCTCACATAAGATATGAATAACCTAAAGAAGGTTGTTTTATCATAATTATAATTTTTTTTTTGTGGGTTGAATAAATTATATATAATTTAACTAGTTGTGGATTTATTATTACAAACTAACAAAAATGTATACATATTTAATATTATTATCAACATTAAAAACAATAATCTCCTGACTACAAAAAAATCAATCAAAAATAAAAAAACACCCATTAAACCATATTCAATAAATATCTTTAAAAATAAAACAAATTAAATCAAAGTAAATAAAAATATCTTTAAAATAAAATTACAAATCAAAATCCTATGTAAATTTTAGTTGTGGATATAATATATGAAAAAATAAAATAAATAAACTTCAATTATAATCTTGAATAATATTGTTGAATTTTAAATGTTAACCCACGAGTACAATATATGAAAAAGTAAACTTCTTATCATTGCTTCCGGCCAACTGGAAGTAGCTTTGGCGATGTATTCATACATTCTTAGGCCGAACCTGGTGAGGTTGACGCTATGTGAAGGTCTTCAATTAGAAAATGAAAAAAAAATAAAAATGTCTCTTCAACAAACATTGATGAACTGTACTCCATGACGCCTAAACGATGAGTGGTGTTAAATGTTTACATTACTAATTCTACACACCTGTAAACATCGCAACAAATCCTTTAGCTTGAAAACATTGCTTTTATTATCAATCTTATATAACTCTGGGTTAATATTTCTTTCTCGGTATAGGAAGGTAGCCAGGAAATATTGACGGCGGTAGGCCGGATAAAGCTACTTCAACTTGGTATTGAACTGGATAATATACGTATCCCTTGAGATCCCGAAGATAAAGCGGATTGAGCAATTCATTAAATGTTTAAGTTTGGCTTCGAGTTCTCCCGAGAGTCCACCATACACCATGCAGCCGTAGTCGAAGTGGGGGAAAACAAGAGAGGAGACCAGGAGTTGACGGGTTTTGAACAGAAGAAGATAACGTAGATGGTTAAACAGTTTCAGGGTGGATATAGTATGGCAGGAAATTTGGGAGATGTGTGGTTTCCAGGAGAGGCTTTGATCAAGGGTAACGTCTAGGTTTTTAACAGTGGTATGGAAGGAGATAGGTGAGTTGTTCAGAAGATTAGGACGATCCACCTTTAGGCTTAGCCCTAGCGCTGCGCCCAGACTCACTACCAGGCCCATTGGAGTTTCACCAGGTCTTACCGGAATTGCTCTAATCTCTGCAGTTTTAACCAGGTGCTGTTGCTCCGATCTGTTTAGCTTTATTTCAAGCTCCGACACACGTGATTTTAGAGTAGAATTCTCCAAAACCAAGCCATCTATTTTCGAGTTTTGAGCTTCTAGGAGCGATTCAATGGCTTTTAATTGCACCGAGTTTTCAAAAGTGATAGATGCCTGAGTTTCCATTGATGATTTCAAATCCTTCAGGTCGGAGGCATTAGCTTCAAAGGAACTTCTCAGGTTCTTAACCTCGGTTGTAAGCTCTTTGATTGCAGAGAGCAGCAACTGTGATGTAGCATCCCCAGTGGTATGCTGCGAGCTTGTGCCTCTTTCGGTAGGCAAACTATTTCCTTGGGCCTTTTCACAATTGGGGCATTTCCAAGTCATTTTTTTTTTTTAGGGATTCAATGTCTTTTATTTCAACATTCAAACATTTCCCGTGATAAATCGCTTGGCAGTTGAGAGTGGAACAAATTAACGTTTTTTTATCTTCCATTGACACGATCTGCTTGCATAAGGGGAATTGATCATTTTATTTGTTTTTTAGACAAATATTCGAGAGAATGCGACAAGAAAAAAATATATAAAAGATTGTGAGATTTCTGAAAACGATGGACATAACCTCACAAGTAAATAAGGCAAGTCAGTCAAGTTAGTTATTGCGCATGCGCTCCGCACTACTAGGCAATATGTCGACTCACCATTTATATAGGTGTAATGTAGATACTTCTATTTTTTTTTATGATGAAGACTATTCTCCGATGACTTCTTCAATGAGAATAGAGCGGTTCACCGATGAGCACTTTATAATTTAGTCTCAGTTCCAGTCCCAAACTATTACTGGCATTACGTAACGTAAGATGGCAATAATTGTCAATGTTTACGTGACGAGAGCACTGGACACACTGAGGTTAGCTACCTTTACCCTAACATAATAGACTGGGCACAGGGTTCAGTAAAAACTCAACTAGTTTAACGGGCGCAGGAGTCTATATAGATAACCTAAATATAGAACTAAGCATACCACTAGGTAAACATGCTACAGTATTTCAAGCAGAGATGTTTGCTATACTTTCTGCAGCCACCTGTTTAGAAGTTACCAATTGCGAGAATGCTGGCATTACTATCTATCCGGATAGTCAGTCAGCACTACAAGCATTGGAGTCTCCCAAAGTGACGTCCACACTGGCCTGCTCCAAGTGGGTGGAACTAGTGTGGGTCCCTGGTCACAAAGGAATTAAAGGCAATGAAAAAGGTGATGTCCATGCAAGGAAAGGAGTAGAATTTTCTATTGTAGGTCCGGAAACTGCAATAGGAATATCCAAAAAGCATCAGCGGAAAGAAGTCCTTGATTGGACCTGGAAAAAAGCAGGTAAAGAATGGAGGGAATGCACAGGGCTTAGATAAGTGAAACAATTTATCAAAAGCCTCTCTCCCTCCAAAACAAAGAGGCTGCTGGGCCTAACTAGAAAAGAAATCCGACTCATCATCAGAGTATTAACAGGCCACTGCAGACTTAAAAGGCATTTAAAGATCTGTGGAATACTGGATGATGAACTCTATAATCTCTGCAGAAGTGCACCTGAAACTGCCCTTCACTTCATAACGCGACTTGCGTCACTCAGATAGACTTCTGGGAGCAGACAGAATCCAAGTATGCAAAGCTACCTCCATAATGGCCCAACCTTTTGAACTTCATTAGAAGAACAAAAAGGTTTGAGACAGAGTAGAGGTACAATAGACTGGTAGTATCATCTGGTAATATCATCCAAAAGGAACCATAGGCCCACTTGCTGAACTAAGTTCCTCCACCAGTACATTATTTGTGTAATACGTTTTCAATGTCAAGATAAAAATGGAATATAAAAAATTTAAATTACATAATAAGCACCATATTGTTGCAATGAAAGAACAATATAGGTAATTGTTTTTACTATTTACTATTTATTACATTGTAATTTATTTTAAGAAAAGGAAAAATGAAAGTGAAGTATTAAGTAGCGAACTGCTTGTAATACTGGTTGAAGGGCAGCAAACAGAATTCGGGCATACCATCACAATCCTCACAGAAACTAGTGACTTTCCGTGTTTTCTCATTTGCCTCCATACTTCCTAGGGTCATTCTCAGTTCTCTGTAGCATTCTCTGCAATGCTTTTGCTGTTTTCTTTCCTCACCTGAAGGCTTAATAAAAGAATAGAAACGACGCATCAGATATGGTGACGGTGGTCGGTGCTGAGTTGTGAGTTCATCAGCTTGGGTCGGTTCACCACAGCTAACATGTTAAGCTCCTGAAGTACAATCTATGGCAGAGAATATGAAATAAAAGACATGGCCGTTTTGAATGGATATACATAATTGAGGACTTTGAATTATCCTGGAGCAGAAGTCTTGTAGTAAGGTAGAGAGGTAGCTGTCCTTTGCTGTTTTTTCTGCAATTGTAGAACTGGTGATTGCATCTGCAGAAAGACTGTTGATGGCTTGATGATATCACACCATTTGAATTAAACGAATCAGAAAAGACTCAATTGAGCCATCTGGTTGAGCCATTGGGTCAGTGGATTAATAAAAGCAGTCAACATGGGCATGGTCCTTAACTTTCCTATGTTTGACTTAGTGGAATTCCTGGAGGAATATGATAAATCTGAAGGATGTTAGATTCATTTCTCATGATATATTCTAGCCATAGACTGACTGTCTGTAATCAGGGAGAAATGTTAACAAAAGATAAATTCTACCCTAATAGTCGTGAAACTGAAAAAAAAAAAGAATACCAGAGCTTCTCCATCAAATTGAGAATAAATTTTAGCTTGGGTTAAGGACCAAGAGATGAATGTAAATGGACGTTTAACTTTATTAACCACATGCAAGAGAACACCTACTATGCCAGAAGGACTGGCATCACAAGAAAAAGAAACTGGAAAAGATATGTCCAACAGCAAGAGCTGTTATTTTACTCATTATATCACCTTTGATTTGTTAAAATGCTTTAAGCAATTCTTTGATCAATTCCATTTATCCCGTTGACTGATTTATCATTTTACTATTTATGTGTATTTCTCACTGTGTGTGTGTTAACTAAAAAAATATCAATTTTCTGTCCTTCCACCCCTCCCCCCCATCAAAACCCAACATGGGATTCTTTGGGACTTTTTACCAGTTATTATAAGGAGGGTAATGAACAATTTCTAATAAGTTTCTTCTTTATTTTTTTAATGTTGTGTTCAATCCATAATTTTACTGGACTATTAGGGAAATAAGAAGTTGCCATTGTGCTCAGCGTATTTACTCCATGAAATCTTGCATATAGGGTTATATTTATTCATTTTGCAAGAACTAATGCCACTTTTGAAGAATCAGGTAAACAAATGAAACAATAAACAGAATAGAATCACTCAGTGAATAATATTAAGTACTGAAAGGGAATTCAATTTTTTGGAATATAAATAGATAGGTAATAACTCTTGTTTACCTAATTAATAAATTCTTCAGACCAAAATTGACTGCTTAACTGACTTTTAATAAATAAAATTAAATGTGAATTGCACCATGGCAATATTTTACAGATAAAAACATAATTGGAATAATTCGAGGAGTTTCTATGTTTCATATAACTTTTACAATAAATAAATTAAAAAAAGGAAAATTTAATTAATTATTGCGAATTCCACATTTAATAAAAAAAAAGTAATTTAAATATAAAATTACCTGTAATGATGTTTCAAATGGATTGTGCATCAGAATTTCAGGACTGTATGATGCATTTAAAGGAAGTTTGACACCAGAAAAAGGCCTTAAACGATAAGGACTACTAATAATTTCACCAATAACCTACAAGAAAATATAATAATTTTAATTAATGAAATGAAATAAAAAACAATTTATAATCACAAAAATAAGTCAGAATACTCAAAATGTTCTGATATTAAGTACATTACTCTGGCTTAATTCTTACTAGTAAAATATCTAGATGTAATTCTTTGAGCCAAAATGGTTTGAATTTCCTGCGTTATGGCGAGTGGTGGGGACAGATCAGAAGATCTAAGAGATAACACTTAATCATACCACCTGCCGTTTTTCTTGGAGGCAATTCTCCACTGGCAGCCACCCAGGTCACACCAATGGCACTTGAGGGCCCTCAAGGTAACCAAAAGATGTAAGCTGGCATAAAGATGGTAAGCTATTTTTGCACAATCAGTATAACCTACCAATCCATTAAGATACAGTCCACTGCATAAAAGTAGAATGTTGCCCATAATTTTGAATGTTGCCTTATTAAAACTCATGAGAGTTATTTGCCTTAATTAGAAAAGTTGCCTAAACATTTTGCTCCACTGGACACGATTAAATACTTTTTTTTTTCCTGTATTAGAGATGTTTTGCAGTATGTAAAAGAGGAAAATTGCCTGGTATTTAACTCATGTCGTTTATTGCTTTGTTGCGTGTTTGGGGGCGCCAGAGTAATAAAAATTAATTTTTTTTTTTAAATTATATCTTTTCGGCCTAATATTCGTATTTCGCCTAATAACCAGGTTTTTCAAAAATATAACTTAACTAATAGATCTAATGCTTTCGTTAATCCTTGCTTGTTTGCAGCTGAACTTTGAACCAGTAGCGTACCCTAAATTGCCGGATTTACAAATTCCTCAATTTTCCGGTCAGTACGAATAATTTCCATCATTTAAATCATTATTTGATGCCTCAATTCATCATCGAAATTATACAAATGTAGTAAAGTTTTCATACCTCAAATCGCTTTTAGATCATCCTGCTTCACAGGCCATTTCTTGAATTGAGTTTAACACAGAAAATTACAGCTTGGCCTATGATAAATTAGTAAAGCGCTACAGTAATAAAAGGATCATTGTGACCTACAATCTTAACAAAAGTATACGGTATAAATAATTTTCTGTTGATAATTCTTCCAACTTTAGAAGCTTTTTGGATACATTTGAGGATAATTACAATGTCTTAAACTCCACAACCTCGCTGATTTTATTTTGCTGCATCTTGGACTGAGCGTTGTAGACCCGAATACAAGAAGAATGTTTGAGAAAAGTCTCAGTGAAGAGACAGTTCCTAACTTTGAAGAATTTTGCAAGTTTGTTAGGTCACAACTTAGAGTAGCAGAAATGTGTCCCGAGCCTTCTACATCCAAAACCACCCAGCTAAAGTTCAGCAAAAAACATTTTTAACCAGCAATCATAATAGACTGGATAAGTAGAAATTTAAGTTAGAACACCCAGTTTGTAAATCGAGCCATAAAATTATAAATTTCCCTTAGTTTTAAGATGCCGATGTTAATGGTCGTTATGACTTGCTAAAGAAGTCTGATTTATGCCTTTCTTGTATGGGACCTCATCGCTTACCGAATTGCCAAAGTAAGACTATTGTCAAGTTTGTGGCAAAAAGAGTCACCATTGTCAAATCACACAAAAGAGTCACATGAAATGTTACATAAAGCTGCAAACACTGAGCCATATCAGTCTCAAATAACAAACAATTCTCATGCAGTTTCGTGCCATGCTACCACCAACTCACAGGTACTTCTGGGTACAGCATTAGGTAGAATTTGTTCAAGTTCAGGTCAGTGGTATTCATGAGGAATGGAGATAGATCAAGGTTCACAAATTAATTTAATTACCACTGATCTAGTGAAAAAGTTGCGCCTTCATTCCCGGGTTAGTCCTCTTGTGGTGTCTGGAGTAGGTGATACCTCCATATATTCCCGGGTTAGTCCTCTTGTGGTGTCTGGAGTAGGTGATACCTCCATATATTCATCTTCTGCTGAGGTTAAAGTGAAGTTGGGTTCAACGAAAAATAGAAATATATGAGTTTTCAGCCAGAGTACTGCCCTGCATAAGTGGAAGTTTGCCTTTGTTTGCCATGTCCAAAGAAGAATGGAATAAATTTGCTTCAATAGAACTTGCAGACCCTCAATTTCATATGCCAGGAAAAGTTCATTTGCTTCTGAGTGCTAAGATGTACAGTGAGGTTTTAAGTGATCCTGTTTCATTTCTTAAGGGTCAACCAAAAGTTATTCATACCTCAATAGGATGGGTATTATTTGAGGGACACCCCCTCGGAAAGCCAAAGCTCTATAACTTCAATACATACTTTTTTCACACAGACCAGCCCTTCCTTACAGAAGGAATCAAAGCAATTTTGGGAGACTGAGGAAGTCGCAGTTTGGATTCTGCCAAATCCTGAAGATGCATTTTGCGAAGATCACTTTATAAATACATGCACTTGTGATCTCCAGGGTAGATTCGTTGTTTCACTTCCGTCTACTGCATATCTACAATTTTTCCTTATAAAATTCATGTTTCCCATCAGCTTGGAAAAAGTTTAGTTCGCCCATTGAGCAAAGTTCCAATTCCCTCCAAAGTTTCCAATTTCAGACCCATCTCCATTATCTCCAACCTTCCAAAACCTCTCGAAAGACTAGTCCATTCACAGCTTAATACCTTCCTTGAGCAAAAAGCTCTCCTCGATCCCCTCCAGTCTAGTTTCCAATCCCAGTTCTCCACCCAATCTGCTTTGTTCAAAATCACCTAAGACCTTCATCTGTCCATAGATAAACAAAAAATCTCCATCCTGATCCTCTTTGATTTTTCAAAAGCATTTGATTCCATAAATCATGAAATCCCTCTTTCCAAATTCCACAACCTTTCCATATCAAATAACGTCCTAAAGTGATTCCGTTCCTTCTTGTATCACAGGAGCTGCTTCCCCCTCTCACTAACTCGTGAAGTTCCTCAGGGATCTTCCCTCTCTCCAACTCTGTTCTCCATACACGTCAACGACCTTCCCGATTCCAACCATCATTGACAATACCACTTATATGCTGAGCATCTCCAAATCTATCTTTTCTTTTATCGTACTGAGAAGCTTGAGGCGATTCGAAGACTACAAGAAGACATAAACAGTATCACTACTTGGGCAGCGAGTAATTATTTAAAGTTGAACATTGAGAAGGCTGAAGCCATTCAAGCATAATAAGCCAAGCATCTTATTAATTCCATTCCATACTATCCCCTACTCTACCTCAATGAACTACCTATTCGTTTCCATTCTTCTGTCAGAAATCTCGGAGTAATTTTCAATCAATACCTGACCTGGAATAATCATGTCTCCCAAATTATCCGAAAATCTATTGCTACCCTAAAACAGTTCCTGAGATTTTGTGATTCTATCCCCCTAAAAACCCGCCAACTCCTAGTTTCCTCATTCATCTTTCCTCACTTTGATTATGGCCTTCTGGTGGACTTGAGATCAGATTGAAAAGATCAATGTTTCATTTGATTCATCTTTGGAGTCTGCAGGCACTCTCACGTCTCCAATTGGTATACTGAGTTGAAGTGGCTCTTTCCAAATTTCTGGTGACAATATTTCCTAGGTGTAGTCCTTTTCCGAACATTTACAACCAAAAACCTATCTCACCTTCTTAATCTGTTGACTTCTTGTTCCTCTATTCATTTGTTTAACATAGAGATCCCAGTCCATAAACCTGTTTGTTCTCTCCCATAGAACCGTTTCCTTTAAAAATTCCTTTATCATGCAGGCTACCTTTTTTTTTTTTAATTCTCTACCTATCTCAATACGCAAATCCTCTTCCTTAACCTCATTTAAACAACATTTATTCTTCCACCACCTAAGCAATCAATCTTCCGAATACATGTAAGAATGAAATTTCGTAAAGAGCTGTCACTCATTTGACTGTTATGTTACTGTTACTTACATATCATCAATATTGTTAATCAGAACAAATATGGGAACACAATCATTTATATTTATCTACAAATCAATATGTTTACTCTTACTTAGTTTATTTTAATTATAAGGTTAGATTATCATGTTATGTTAGCTAAAATTTGTCTGATTTTTAAAAATTTTTATAATGCCAGACAATTTTAATCTTTTTCTTCATTATAATTATTTTAAGGATGCTAAATGTCCTTCAATAAAATTTATTTTTCTTTGTTTCTTTCTTTCAAATTAGGAGGAACAGAGTCACAGAATCTAAGGAATTGTTTAAGGAGAGGTATACAATTTCTTGTGATCTGGGAAATATGTTTATTCTACTAGAGATTATTAACATAATAACTGAGATTTTTTACAGTCAAATAAAAATGAACGGGTCGATTATTGAGCTGAAGCAGAGAATAATAATTGAGAGAACTAAGAAGATGCCCAGAAGTGGTGATCATGACATCATAATTCAACTTCAGTTTGTTCTTTACGTCTTCTTGTAGCTTTTAGATTGCCTGAAACATCACGGTAGGATAGAAGGGTATATAAATGTGAAAATAATCAGCATATAAATGCAAATGTGAATAGTGGATGGAGTCAGAAGAATTGCTAATGAAAATAGAGAGAAGGTTTGGTGAGAGTTATGAACACTGAGGAACACCTCAACATCCTCAGGAAAGCAAGAGTCATGCTGGCCTGAAGCGTCGGGGATTGAATAGTTAATTATTTACTTGCAGAATCATTTAATTATTTTCCATGTTTGATTAAATATATTTTTAGCCTTTTAATGATACATATTTACATATATAATGTAAATATAGGCTAGTATACTGCAAGAGCCAGATTTAAGATAAAGCACCAAGAGAGGGAGAACCCCATATGGTTTCAAGTCAAGATCTAGAAGTCTTCTGATATTAATCACAAAAGATTGATGATTATCTATCGGCATTGGAAGGGTCTTGGATTGTCAAAGAAGACATGATACTTGCTTACGATTATCTGCCATGACTCATCAGGCAAGAATTTTAACACTAGAATATTAATTATTTTATTACATCATTCACCAAAAAACAGGCTATATACACATTTTTTTATACATCTTCCTCTCTCTTTGAGTAAATGACAGTTATTGGTGTTTTTATTAATTTTCATTCTTTTGAAAATCAGGATTAATTATTTTCCTGTTTCTGTCTTTAATAGTTGGCTAAGCTAATAAGCTAGTTCGTGAAGTTTTTTATACTTTTTTGTTCTGTTATAAGTCAAGTTTTACTATTATCTATTTATAAAGTAATATTTTGAGTATAATATTAATATTATTTAAAGTTAATTTATCCCATGCATATATTACTCATATCCTTATAATTATCATGGTTTAATATTTTTAAAACTATTTCATAAATGCATTAACGAAAATTTTCAAATTTACTTTTAAATTTACAGTTGTCAAATTAATGTCTTAAACAGTGTTTAAATAAAAAAGTAAGTCCTTAAAAATTAAAATCAACAAGTGAAGTCCAAGGATTGACGTATGGAGGTAGGTAGAGAGTTCCAAAAGGAGGTAGCACGAATGACAAAGAATATGCTGAAGAAAATAGTTTTATGAGAGGGGATATATAAATCTACAAGTTATACACTATCTGGTATTGAGATAGTGTGAAGTAAGGAGTCCTAAGATTTAGAGAGGGTTTTTGGTTCTGAGGACTTGGAAAAGGAATACACAAAGAAGGCATTGCTGTTGGGAAGTAGGATAAAGCCACTTTAACTCAGTGTACCATCAGGAAACATGAGAACAGCCCGACAGACAGTCAACCATACACCAAACTACCATAGTTGAAGTGGGGGAAAACAAGGGAGGTTACAAGAAGCTGTCTGGTTTCTAGAGGAATACAATCACGGAATCTTAGGAATTGTTTAAGATTAGTTATGGATTTTTGGGTAATCTGGGAGATATGGTTATTCCAGGAAAGATTCTGGTCAAAAGTTGCTCCTAGGTTTTGTACTATAGGGAAAAATGGATGGTTATTGAGGTAAAGCAGAGAAGAGGTAGGTATTATAGAGAACTAATGAGATGTATGGACCTGATAAGAACAGCCTTAGTTTTGTCTGCATTCAGCTTTAACTCATTTATTTCTGCCCAATTGTTGATGCAATTGATATCATCTTGTAACTTTCAGGTAGCCTCAGGTATCTCGGGAGGTTGGAATGATCGGTAAATTTGAAATCATCAGCGTATAGGTGATAATGGGAGTGCTGAATAGAGGCAGGAAGATCACTAATATAAATGGAAGAAAGTGTCGGATAGAGTGAGGAGCCCTGAGGACCTCATGTTAATTGAAGAGGTGACGACAGAGGTTTGTCAGGAATTAAAACTGTCTGGGAGCAATAGGATAAGAAGGAGAGGAATCATTTTAGAACACTATTTGATATGGACAATCTTTGGAGTTTGGAAAGGAGGATATCATGATTGATGGAATCAAATGCTTTGGAAAAGTTGAAAAGGATTAGGATAAAGATTTTCTGTTTACCTAGGCGAGATTGGAGGTCTTGGATAATCTTTAACAAGGCAGATTGGGTGGAATAACCAGGGGAGCGGAAACCAGATTTAAATGATTGATGAGATGGTTTAGCTCAAGAAAGTTGTTCAACTGAGAGTGGACTAATCTTTCTAGAGGCTTGGATAGATTAGATAAAATGGAGATAGATCTGAAGCCGGAAGCTGACGAAGGAGCAGGAATCTATCTGTTAGACAGATTGTGAATCATACCTATATTTTCATAAAAATAAACCTAGAGGTCATAAGGAGTGTGTAGAGGAGTTTTAAAGAGACAGGTTATATAAACACAGCAGGGATGAACAAAGAGGTTGTGTGAAATGGATTTGTCACTGCCGCTTACATTTGATCCTTTTTATTTCTTCTTTTTATGTTTACTTAAAATATGTTTTTTGTTTATCATTAATTTTTTTTATTATTATGCAATGGTATTTCTCATATTAGTCAGTAACAAATCAATTAGTAATCCCTCATCAGCTGTAGTAATTTTGTGTTGGCCAAAGAGGTGTTTTCTCTCTCTATTTTATTAATTGTTTTCTATTATTATATTACAGCTATGATCTGGAATTTGTATTTGGACCTCTCACTTTGGATATTGAATTGGTAATAAAGAAAAGTTGTTGGAGAAAGATATTATTTCTTTCACTTTCACCCCATTATCACTAAAATTTAATTTAAAGACTTTTTTCGAAGGATCCAAGTAAATTCCTACTGGGTCAAAGTATCTATGGTACTAAGAGTAATACTAATATTAATCAAAACATAAAGCTATATACAATATATCATTTTAAGAAATAATTAGAAATTATAATTCTAAAAAAAAAATTTAATAATATAGTTAGTAATGTTAAGAATCACCTGGTACTTGAAACTCCCTTCAGACGTATGAATGAATAACTGACTTTTTAATTCACCTTCTTCCCTTCCCAAAAATACAACATCAAAAGATGTATTACCAAGAGGTGGAATAATCTGAAACAATTTTATAAAGCTCATAAGTTTTTAAGCAGCAGTTACAAATATAGAATCATTTTTACAATAGAAACCAGCTAGAAAAAGTTTCAAAATTTTTTAGTCATTGATATTTACAACTTTATTATAAAAAAAAAAAAAAAAAAAAAAAAATAGAGCTAGTAAATGTGCACTCAGGAATATAATAACATGAAATCTCTTGTTGAGAAACTACCCACTGATAGCACTCAAATAAAAAAAAAAAATTTAAAAGCACATACATACAGTGAAACCTCTCCACAACAGACATCCATGGGACTGACTGATTTGTCTGTTGGAGGGGAGGTGTCTGCTGAGAAGGGGGTATTATTTCCTTCCTTCCAGCAATACAACTCGTGGTGAGTCAGGTTTACTTGTATCACTGACCTCCAGTTTTCTCAGTACACTGCAATTGCTTTCCAGAAACAAACTCCCAAGATTGGGGGTAGCTTTTTATGAAAATGATAAAATTCGACCCTAATATCGATTTAATCCAAAAACTTGAAAAGTCGAGGCGCGGGGGGCCCAATCTCAAATTCGACACGATTCTCAGAAAAAGATGCCCCCGAAACATAAGAGTCGACCCTGATATCGATTTAATCCGAGGTCCGAGGGCCCAATCTCAAATTCGATATCATTTTCATAAAAAGCTCCCCCCCCCCAAAAAAAACATATAAGTCGACCCTAATATCGATTTAATCCGTAAGGTTAAAAAAATCGAGGCCCGGGGGCCGCAATCTCAAATTCGACAGCATTTTCAGAAAAAGCACCCCCCAAAACATAGGAGTCGACCCTGATATCGATTTAATCCAAAAAGTTAAAAAAAGTCGGGGCCCGGGGGGGGCAATCTCAAATTCGATATCATTTTCAAAAAAAGCGCCCCCCAAAACATAGGAGTCGACCCTGATATCGATTTAATCCAAAAAGTTAAAAAAATTCGGGGCCCGGGGGGGGGGGGCAATCTCAAATTCGATATCATTTTCATAAAAAGCGCCCCCCCAAAACATAGGAGTCGACCATGATATCGATTTAATCCAAAAAATTATAAAAAGTCGGGGCCCAGGGGGGGGGGGGGGGCAATCTCAAATTCGATATCATTTTCATAAAAAGCGCCCCCCAAAACATAGGAGTCGACCCTGATATCGATTTAATCCAAAAAATTATAAAAAGTCGGGGCCCAGGGGGGGGGGCAATCTCAAATTCGATATCATTTTCATAAAAAGCGCCTCCCAAAACATAGGAGTCGACCCTGATATCGATTTAATCCGAAAAGTTACAAAAAGTCGAGGCCCGGGGGGCCCGATCTCAAATTTGATATAATTTTCATAAAAAGCGCCCCCAAAAACGTATAAGTCGACCCTGGTATCGATTTAATCCATAAAGTAAAAAAAGTCGAGGGCCGGGGTGCCCGATCTCAAATTTGATATAATTTTCATAAAAAGCGCCCCCAAAAACGTATAAGTCGACCCTGGTATCGATTTAATCCATAAAGTAAAAAAAGTCGAGGGCCGGGGGGCCCAATCTCAAATTCGATATCATTTTCATAAAATGCGACGCCCAAAACATATAAGTCGACACTGCTATCGATTTAATCCGTAAAGTTAAAAAAAAGTCGAGGCCTGGGGGCCCAATCTCAAATTCGGTATCATTTTCATAAAAAGCGGCTCCCAAAACATAATAGTCGACCCTGATATGGATTTAATCTGAAATGTTATAAAAAGTCGAGGCCCGAGGGGCCTAATCTCATATTCGATATCTTTTTCATAAAAAGCGCCCTCTAAACCATAATAGTCGACCCTGATACCTACATAATTCCAAAATACTGTAATGGATTTCCAAACGATAGATAATCGTATTTGCAAGATAAGACTACGTGGGATCTTATTTAATGTCACAATTGTTAATGTTCATGCATCCACAGAAGATAAAGATGAAAATACGAAAGAAGAATTCTACACAAAGCTTGAGAAGGTTCATGATTCATGTCCCCAGTACATCAAAATCATTGCAGGAGATTTTAATGGCAAGAATGGGAAAGATGTTTATAAGCCAACAATATGAAATCATAGCCAGCATAGTGTAACAAATGGCAATGTAGAAAGAATGATCCAGTTTGCAGCTTCCAAAATGTCTGTAATAATAAGCACGGTATTCCCTCATACAAATATCCATAAACAAACATGGGGCATTCCTGATGGTCAAAATGCAAACCAAATAGACCACTTCTGTGTTGATAATAGGCATCAGAGTTGTATAATAGATGTCAGAAGCTTCAGAGGGCCTGGTATATTGACTCAGATCAGTACCCAGTAGTGATGAAATGCAAGCAAAGAATTAGGACAGCCAAGGTAGCGCTCTGTGTGCCCAAGAAAAAGTGGAAAGCTGAAAAACTGAAGAATGAAGAAACAGCACTACAGTTTCAAGAAAATATTAACTAGAAGATTTTTGACCATCATATAGATGGATGTTCAAAATGAATGTTTCAACTGCAGCTGGGGAAACTGTTGGAAATATAGAACCAAGAAAAAGAAATGGATGGTTTGACAATGAATGCAAGCAAGCTATCGAAAAGAGGAACAATGTGTGTCTTAATTGCCTACAGCATCAAACCAGGCAACAAGAAAACAAATTCCGTGAAGCAATATGACAGGTGAAGAAAATAATCAAGAAGAAGAAAAAACATGTTCTGCAGAAATAGTTAAAGATCATCAAAGACATGGCTAATAAAAACAAAAGTAGATGATTCTACAGAAAAATAGAAGTATCAAGAAAGGATATATACCCTACCAATAATTGGATAAAAAACAAGGAAGGTTCTGACTAACAATAAAGTGATCATTGAGAGATGGGAAGAACACTTCCAGGTACTATTAAATAGTGATTCCAGAGAAATCGGCCAAACTGTTGTGATCAATGATAGAGAATTCATGCCTTCAGAATATTGATGGGAAGAATCAATTCCACCAACATTTGAAGAGCAAGAGGAAATGGTCTGCGATCTGAAGAGAAATAACACACCAGGTGCAGCCAATATTAATGCTGAACTCTTTAAAGCTGTGGGCCACAATATGAGAGAGCTGCACCACCTCATAGAGTGCTATCTGGGAGGAAGAAAGCATGCCAGAAAACTAGAACTGTGGAGTAATTACGGTGGCATACAAGAAAGGAGACATGGCAGAATGTCGCAACTATAGAGGTATCACTCTGCTGAATGTTGCATATAAGATATTTGCTGCACTACTCTACAAGCTCTCATACTACAAAAAGGTGGTTGGTGACTACCAGCGCGGTTTTCAGAAAAACAGGTCAACCATAGATCAAATCATTTTTTTACGGCAAATCAATGAAAAGAGGTGGGAATATAATATGGTCACATGGCGGTTATTCATAGATTTTAGGGCTGCTTATGATACTACAGATCCACGGTATATATGGCAATGGAAAAAGCAAATATCCCTCCTAAACTGATCAATCTTACAAAGATGGCCATCAGAAACTCGTTATATCTTTTTTAAAACAAAACATTTTTATTATCCCTGTTTCATTTCTATTTATATCCATTTCCAAGAATCTAATTTTATTGTTTTCTTCTACTTCGTTTGTGAATTTTAGTTTGTCTAATAATGTATTTAATATGTTTAAGAAAGTTTTTATTTCATTTCTGTCTGTAATCTTCAGGATATTGTCAACATACTTTATAAAAATCTTAGGGATTTTATTAAATTTCTTTATAGCTTTATCCAACAGGTTATTTAAGTATATACTGCAAAGATTAGTCGATATATCACTCCCTCCCCCCCCATCGGTACTACATTTCTGATTTTAAAGAAATTGCTATTTTATGTGAAGTATCCGTTGTCACATCCAAATCCAGTCTTGAATGAATGCAATATAGTTGAACATTACACTTAATATCTTCTACTAGGAGGTACATATTTTGAGATCAAATTATATTCTTTTTGTTTTCTTTTCTTAAAATTTAACATTGTATTTTAATTATTTATATATAAATTTTAGAAATAAAAACGACATTCGATGAAATAAGGGAACAATCAAATTACGAATTATATTATAATGATATATTTTAGAAAAAATGTATGAAACGGTGCATGGTAGTTAGATAATTTTTGCATTAATTTTAAACAAATATATTAAAAAATTGTTGTTACATAAATTTTTTTTCTAAAAAATAGAATAAGGACTATGTATGTAACTGACTGTTTATAAATTAATATATGTTTTATAATGATATATTTTAAAGTAAAATAACTAAATTAAAATTTGTTTATAGAATCTTGAAAATGGCTCAAAAGGACGAAAGGTTGAATAATAAATACATAAAGTGAAAACGTTTATTATTAGTGACCTTTGGTCTAATTCTTTAGAAAAATAAATAAATTAGACATTTTTTCATTTTATTTAACTGTTAAATAACTAAGCATCAAATTAAAAATTTGATATAATAATTCTTTATTTATAAATATTATATTCTGTCACATTCAAGGACAATAGTAATGGAGTAATTCATTCATATTCTATGTACACAAAATGAAAATAAATTAAACAACAAAATAATAATAATACTACAAATAAGTGTATATAAACAAAGTTAAAATACTTACTTTATCCTGGAAAAATGAACTATGAAAATGTACAGTATTTCCAGAAATAGAAGACATTAAAACGCTCCTGTTACAACTTAAATTCACTATTGTCACTTTTTCTTGATGAGGAATGCCCAAATATCTAAAAATAAAAACGGAACATGAAAGTTAAGTTAAAATAAATGAATGCAACTTTTAAATATATATATGTTGTTCTGATATTATTAAATAATGAATTGAATAAAAAATATTTAATTATAAATTTGATATATTATGATAAATTTTATGAACCCTAAGGAATTTACTGGTCCATGAACTGTGAATTACTAAGGAACAAATAAATGACATTTATACATCAAATATTGTATTTAATATAAAGACATACTTATAAATGAAACAAAATAAAATTTAAAGTAATACTATTTATTACTGCTTCTTGGCACTGTCTCTCTGGTAGCTCCGATCTTATACTGTTCCCTATTCTTTATATGTTAATGTTAATTCAATTGAAGATGATCTTCATCTGTTCTATGCTCCCTAAATGACTGTACACATGACACCTCCATAGCTTTCCAGAACCGACAGACGACTTGTCCTGGAGGGCAGATTGGGGGTTGGGTTATCCCCTCCACCATAACTCCTAGGATGCTCTCCAATTAAAAAAAAAATTAAAACTTGTTTTTCAAATTTTTTTCTTTGAACTAAAAAAATTATTATAAGTCTGTCCATAACTATATATATACATATATATATGATGTGAGGAGTCTGATAACAATTGTTGTACAGTGTGCATGGTCTGTTGAAACTAGATTGGATTTAAATGGTTAAAAGCATTAGTTGTTTGTGAAAATTGGCATAAGTGATCATTAATAACATTTCCTTCATTAAATGAATTTTCAAGAAAATATGTTGAGCTAATTCTTCATAATTAGTATTATAAGATAACCTAGGATATCAGTGCATTGGTGTCATGAAAGGTGGAGAGGGGGAACAGGTGATTTAGTTATTATTAAGTGTACACAATAGACAAGGTATCAGTAACTTTATTATTATTATTAATAGAAACAATCAAGGTCAGTGTTTCTATTTACTTAGGTAAACTTCAAATAACTTATTCAACTTCGTCTTTTATTTTATTTTGGCTACCTAGGAGTACATAGAATATATTTAATTTATTTTTTTTTAAGTGCTGCATGCCTTCTAACTAAATTAGAACAGTCAACAAACACATTCCATTTCAAAAGAAGTAGAAGTTCTCCTGACTCCTGTATCAATCCTAATAATAAAAAAAATCCTATAGAACATAAAAATATGGCATCTGGTAACTCTCAAGATAATTGTCAAATAAATATGAACCAGTTAATGGAATGTATGTAATTACTTGATTTCAAGCTTTCACATCTGGCCACCAAAGAAGATATTCTTAACCTTCATAATGAAATTAATTTATTAAAAAAAGAAAACGAGCAATTGAAATACAAGTTACTGGTTATTAAGAAGGCTAATATAAAGACTCAAAATCTCGTTGACGAGTTAGATTATAAAAACCGCAGAAACAACCTAATATTTAAAGGACTGACATAATTCACAGGATAATAATTTTTGTAAAATCATTTCCGATTTTTGCAATGAGGTTTTACAAGTTCAATTAGCGCAAGAATTTTTGTATGCTTTCCCTCTGGGATGGGCAACGGCATAATAGATCAATTATGGTCTCGTTCATAAGATATAAAGATAAATTATTAATAATGAACTCCTTAAAACGGCTGCGAAGAACAGGGTTTATGATACACCAGGATTTTGATGAAAAGACTAGGATGAGAAGAAGTAAACTTCTGTTACTTAGAAAGGAAATCAGACGTTTAAATAGTCAAATTAACATCATTGTCCGTGCCGATCGTCTCGTTATATTAAATAAAAGATTTAATTGGTCTGGAGTATGCGGGCGAAGACGGTGTGAAGATGATGAATGATCTAATTTTATAACAGCTTTTCGTTATGATACTCTACCCAAAGATTCTTTTTCATCAAATATAATCGTATCTGAAAATATTGCTACATCAGTTTCATCACGTAAAGAATGAGATAGGCCAGTCTGCCGGCAGAAAATTCATCAAGTCTCATCTTCCACAACAATTTCTCTTATTGTATATAATGTAGCAGGTTTAAAATCTAAATTAAATTATCCGACTTGAGCTTTTTTACGATTTCTCAAGAAATATGATGTTTTTGTATTGTTGGAAACTTTTATAGACGATAAATTTAATTTATACAGTAAATATTTTGATGGATATTGTTTGCGCTGGATATTGTTTTGGCCGCACTATGGGGGGTACATTGTATGCAATTAGATCTAATTTACCACAATGTCAGGTTAAATTTCTGGATATTGATGACGTTAAAGTGATTTATGTTAAAAATCTAATTGAATTGTATATTTTTCTCATATATTTACGTGGCAATTCATGGGACTCAGATTTTTCTAGTTTGTCAAACTTTCTAGTAAAAAATTCACACATTAAATTTGTTTTATCTAGGGACTTCAAAGCTAGGATTGCAGACTTTCAGTCTCTTCCCTCTGATTTAATTTTGGATAATCCTAATTGTAACCTATCTAGGAAATCTAGAGATAGGATCATTAATGAGCGAAATTCCAAAATATTATAGCTGTGTGATGACCATAATTTCATCATTTTGAATGGTAGATTTAATGATATTGAAAGTTAATTCACCTTCAGTAGTAGTATGGGTAAATCTGTAATTGATTTTATTTGTTTTTCAATAGATTATTGAATATATTTTATGGTCTCATATCTCATGCATTGTTGATTTCAGAATTTTAGCAGAACCATTTTCGGATCATTTACCGTTTTTTTGTGAGATCTCATTTATAGACACTCCAGAATGTAATTTTCTACCCCTTTTGCCACAGTTGGTTTGGATGGATAAATAAATAGATATTTATAAAAATTCCTTGAAATTAGAGATTGAAGAAATTTCATACTTTCCTCCTGACCCTGAAAGAGTTTTAAACAATTGATTGTATTAGAAGCTCTTCTCTTTCGTGTACTAAATATTCTCCATACATTAGAAACATCCGGAAAAATATGTGGTTTGATGGACAGTGCCTCCACGCAAGAAATGTCGTTTGCTTTGTTGAATCTTTTTCGTCGAACTAGATCCACTATCATCAAGCATCATTATGTGGAAGATAACAGGGCTTATAAGGATTTATGTTTAAAAAAGAAAAAGGAACATCTTAATATGGTAATCGAACGATTTAAAAATGTAAACGATTCTAAGGAATTTTGGCACTTGACTAATCATTTTAAGCGAAACAATATTGCTTTTGGTAGTATCGATCTCCACAAATTATTTTCCCATTTTCAAAACTTACTTAACTCTCCTGGTAATGGTGGACTAGTATTATATGTTGATTCGACTTCTCTAAACCTTCCTTTTAATTTAAGTGAATTGCAAATTGTGATTAGTAATTTAAAGAACAACAAGGCGCCGGGCATTGATAGAATATCATATGAGTTTTACAAACATGCACCCGTTGTATTTTTGGGTAAGCTTCTTTCTCTCTTTATAATCAAATTTATGAGACTAAGTTCCGGCTTCCTTTGATAAATCTATATTATTTCCTTTTTTTAAACGTGGTGATATCAATAATGTTCATAATTATAGGGATATATCATGTTTGAATGCATCTGCGAAAATTTTTACTGGTCTTCTTTTGCAACGTTTGGAAACTTTTATTACGGAGAATGAACTTCTCAGTCAATACCAAACAGGTTTTAGACGCGGATACTCAACAATTGACAATTTATTTGTTTTGGTAAATATTATAACAATTTAACTTCTTAAAAAGGACAACAAATCTTTGCATTTTTTGTAGATTTCAATGCAGCGTTTGACAGTATCTCTAGAAACTCTTTGAGTCTCAAATAAATTCATTAGTGTTCTAAAAAATATTTATTCACAATCAGAATCGGCGGTTCGTGGTGCAGAGGGAATTTCCGAGCTTTTTCCTGTGAATAATGGTGTACATCAGGGATGTTTAATCAGTCCACTCCTCTTCTCTTTGTATTTAGATAATCTTCCTCTTACGCTTGAAGGAGTTCGTATTAGCGGTACCCGTATCAGCGTTTTAATGTATGCTGATGACATTGTGCTGCTGGCTTAAGATAGGATTACACTGCAAAGAAATATACACCTTTTGGCAGCCAATTGTGATGATTGGAACTTGACAGTAAATCTTTTTAAATCAAAAATTATTGTTTTTAGGAAAGGTGGAAGACTGGCCGCTGCAGGTAAATGGCGATTTAAGGGTTTACCAATAGAAGTAGTCAATACTTATAAATATTTGGGTGGCACGCAAAGCTCCAGTCTTTCATTTACTTACCATTTGAAAGATCGTATATCGAGCGCTAAAATGGGTCTTAATAGGAATTGGTCAAGTTTAATTACTCAAGATCTGATCCCACTATCCGCCAAAAAACAAATCACCTTTACCCTTCGTCGTAAACCTATAGACATCCTGTCCTACAGTATCCTTTAATAACACCCCACTCCAGTTCTAACCCCTAATAACACCCCTCCAGTTCTCTTTTCCTTTTCTGACATGATGACAGGTCAAGGTCTGCTCTTCGAAACTGTTGTATTTGGTTTTATTCGCATTAGTTTTGCTTCTACTACATCGTGATGAATATGTCAAGTAATATAGGACATTTTCGACATGTTTTTCCTTTTTATTGAAAAAAAGGGAAGCGAACTTCAGAGGCTCCCCCAAAGATATGTAAGGTATACGTGAACGATGCCTTAATAGAACTTATTCTTATAATTATAATTATTAATTTTTTTCCCTCTCCATATTTCTAAGCTAGTTCTGCAATATATGTATGTAAATGAAGTTACTTCTATATTTATATTTTACTTCTGCCAATTTTCTGTTTATTCACATTGTACTCTTATCTATAATCTCTTAATTCTATTTTATGTGTATATGTATATATTTATAATTCAATATTTCATAGATATAGTATTTTTCCATTGTATCCATCCATACCTTCAAATTTTGGATACTGTAATTTTCTAGGTTTTTACCCATTATCTAAACAAGTCAGCTTCCTTTATACCTGCCCTTACCCCATGGTTTTCCCGTTCTAAGTGAAACTCCTAGCTGAACACACCTGTAAGTCCACTTTTTTTCAGCAAAATTAACTGCTGCAAAGTATTAATTTCTTGTTTTTTTGTGATATCGGATGTATTGTAAACAAAAATATATTAGCCTAAATAAAAACACATTTTATTTATAAAAATAAAACTAACTTTTTTTTAAAAATATTTTAATGTCTCCCAGATTTCTGTTATAGGAATTGATGTGTATTTATCAGTGACAAACTTAATGCTTCTAGCCACCTAATATTTACGTTTTCATGAAAATAATTGAAGCAATCATTAAGTTTGTCCCTGATAAATACATATCAATTCCTATGACGGAGATATGGGAGATAAACACAATTTCATTACCACTTTATGTGAAAAATGTTTAAAAAATGATTATTTTTAAATTGTTTATATTGGCCTTTGGCCTCAATCCTTTTTCGCTTGTACTTTTCGAAGTTCTCCGGTGTTTTGTGCTCGAGGTATTCTTTCCAGAGTTTCTTCTTTTCTCCTATTAGTTTATTCACATTGTTTATAAATTTTGTCTAAATATTATGAAACTGCCACAATTCTGTATCTTTTTGTATCTTGTCCGTTCTAGCCCTGAAGAAGACCTGCAAAGTCGGGTCGAAACGCCAGCTTTTAATAAAAATAGTTTTACCACTATTTAGCCTATTTTCCGCCACCCCGGACCTTCTTCTTCCTTTATAAATATATATCAATTCCCATGACAGAAATCTGGGAGAAAAACACAATTCATAACCACCTTTAGGAATGAAAATATTTAAAAAATGAATATTTTTAATTTTTTTATATTTATAAATATAATGATGGTTGATATAGAGATGGTTGACCAAGTTGATTGGTTGTTAATATGAGAAGGAGTTGATCGGGTGGTGCGGTCAAATAAATATTAAATTATCAGGGCGTGGCATCAGGCACTGCAGGAGGCAGTGCTGAAGTCAGTGATGAAGACCTGCAAGGTGGGTCGAAACGTCGGCGCAATAAATAAATAATACTATTTTTATAATTTAGTATTTATTTGACCGCATCCCCCGATCAATTCCTTCTCATATAAATATAATGTGTTTTTAGGTAATTATGTTTATTATAATACATCCTATATAACGGAAAAACAAGAAATAAAAGCTTTGCAACAATTAATTGTCGTTTTTGCTGAAAACTTGGTTACTTTTAGGTGACTGGATAGAAAATCACATCATTTCTTTAGACAACTTGAGGTGAATATCATAATTTTTTCTTAATAAATCTCAACTCAATTAATATGGAATTAAAGCTTATTAAACGAGGAATTTTTTCAAAAAGTGGAGTAAATGTAGTACCGTTAAAGGGTGATAAAAAAAAAAAAAAAAAAAAAAAATGGAAATCAGCTATGGTTGTCCGTCCAATAGTCTCTTTAACAATGAAAAACTCTACTTTCGTTTTATTATTATTTTTTTATTTATAATTTTATTGAAATTTACAACTGTTTTACATTAACTTTCGTTTAAAGCAAATTTTGTCTAGTTTACTATGGAGCAATGTTTAGTCACTTAAATCAAATATTTTTAAAGTTATCGCTTCCTATTCAACAAAAAACACAAATCTTCAATTTCCGACTTTTCTGCTGTAAATTGGGCAATTGTTTACATGAACTTTTTTGTAGATCTTGATGTTTACTATCAAACTTTTAAATATTTCTCTCTACTTATGGGAGACCTTGAATATATATGCAATCCTTAGTTATAAAAAATAAATCAGCTCTTTAGACCAACAAATTGCTCACCAGATAACAAGTAATTCACAATGTAAAGATATTGGAAGAGAGATAGAAAGGGAAACGAATATCTATTTATTAAATTGTTTATAGATCAAAATACAGTGTTATTAGAGCTTGGTAAAATTGTGTACAATGAACCGTTAAACAAAATAAGAAGAAAATCAATTCCAACTTAAATAAATGAATAAAAAGTACCCACACCATTTAGAAAAATATTATAAAATATTAAAACATTTATATAACTATAATGAAAAAAACTAGTCAGGAAATGTAGAGCTTTTTATTTGTCGTAAATCTGCAATAGAATATTCTAATTAAAAAAGATTATATGTGATATTGAAAAGGTCAATAAAAAAAAAATAATAATAATATAAGAAATGAAAGGTCTTCATTACAATATTCTATAAACTCTAGCAATAACATAATGGGAAATTATTTTATTATTGTTTTTTTACAAATTGCTTTATGTATACCTTTCTTTAAAGTCCAATATTGGAGGAAGAAACTTGAGGAGAATTCTTGAGCTGAACAGGGACTCATCAATACTGATTCTGAAAAAGCAAAAATACAATCAATCAATCCTGTGATATTTTTACTTAAATAGAATTGAGTTAAACTTAATTAACTACTAAAGACAGGAGAAATAAACAATTTGTTTATGCAGATAAATGAAAGGATGACGATAGTCATATATAGGAATGCATGCTGAATGGTGTTAAAGGGAGCCAGGATTTATCAAAAACTTCACTTGATTGATTTATGTATTTTTATAAATTTATTGATTAGTGTCATGAACCAATTTTTTAGCAGTATTTCTTAATGCAGTCTCCTGTTTGATCTATATATTTTTGCTACCGACTTCTTCCTTAGTACAGCCATGACTGAGGCCATAGCACAGCCATATTACACTGTCTCAGAAACAAGTGTATACATAGAATGAAGCAGAGAATAAAGCTTACAAATGACATTTGTGCCAATCAAGAGCTTATTAAACTTATCAGACATTTACTGTTGAAAAAATTTCAACAGAAGTGAGAAGCATATGAGATTTGCTTATTTTCCCTATAAAAAAAGAAGAGGTATACCCATTAGAAAAGTTACCCTTTTCCAAAATAAGTTCGGTTTGGTTAGCTGTGTGAGCAACATCCTATCCTAGCTTATAGTGACTTGTATCAATAAAAGTTTGTTAATGGTCTTCCTGGAAAAGCTCAAGAGCCAGCTGACAAGGGTGATCAGAAGACATTGCATGCTGTTACAAAAACTGTTTCAAAAAAGCATTATTTTGCAGACAATAAGAGTGTTAAAAGTAAGCAAGCGAAACTACTTTTTACAGAGAATGAACAGATCCAAAGATGGAGACAGCGTTTTCTAGAGATCTTAAACCATAACACAAAGAATGAAATATCGGTCGAGGACATTGCAGGGGACAACAATGAAGCAAATGAATTTTGCTGAATGCTCAAACTGGAGAGAAATTGTGGTTCCCTGGAAGACACTGTACCACATTATTCAGGACAGAATTAGAGAGGCTGTTAATGGTAAATGAAGAAAGGGACAAAGTAGATTTAGGCCAAGAAGATCGTGCGTTGACTAGATCAATATCTTCAGGATTATAGTTGAACGATTTTCGGAGTTCCAAGCAACTCAATAACTTGCCTTTATTGATTTCGAAAGGCTAATGTTGCAGCCTTTTAATGTTAGGGATGGTGTTAGATAGCTTTATGTTCTCTCCCCTATATTATTTCCTGATGAAACTCAACATCCTTTAAAGTAGAGATTTTCATAGAGAACAATGAATTCAGTAGAGCCTCAGACTAAAAGATCTGAACTTTGCAGAAGACAAATTTTTTATTTTAGATCTTCAGGATAATGCCTATCATGGAGAGATCTTCAAAATATAATCTGGATTCGCCACCAGCTACTCTGGATATAAATTACAGAAAAAACAGCCTATACAATTCCAAAATTATAGAGGATAAGTATCGCAGACATGGATAACCTGGAGGATAGAAACCTCCACTTTGTATCAGGAACACTATGATAATAATACTTATAATATATTTAAATATATTATTAATTATTAATAAACAGATTGGTGTCTTGGTTACTATAAATTAAGTACAACATTTTTAACCAGTTCATTTTATTTCATTTACGAAAAGGTAAATTTCTGGTATTTCAAGAAATCACAATTATGAATATTTTATAAAAAAAATGATTTTTTAAAAATTAAATATTGGTTGAATTTTTTGGGTCATGTAAATATAATGTAATGTCAAAATATGATTACTGTAATGAATACTGTAAATATACTGTAATGAATAATAAAATTATTCTCAAAAGACTGTTACATTTGAACGTTAGATTTCAGCGAAGTGGAGGGACTCCGCTCCAAGTCTTTTTGCCAAGCACCGCCAGACAGCTAACACCTTACCTCAAGATTTGCTTATACAGAAGTTTTTATTATGAGTGCAGTCATAATAATAGGATTTTAGCTAGTGTGAATAGTTTATCGCGACCGACATCAACAAATAAATGCTTAACTATGAGATTTATAGAGATAATTATAGATAATAAGTTTTTGGCATGGTACTAATTCCAGAGACAGCATGGTAACAAGTCCTGACATCCAATTTTTCTTTGAACTTTGAATCATTATAAAACAGTAATTGTTTTCAGTGTGAGAACAAAGAACGTATTCTGGCATATAGAAATATTCTTTTGTAATCTCAATTTTAATAACTTAAATTTTTTTAATTAGTTCTTGTTTGTTAATGTATTACATCAGTTGTAATAATGTTTTGTATTAAATAATTTAGCACTACGCCAGTGAGAACCCACCAAATATTTCAGGTGTATTTAATTTTTTTTTTTATGAATTATTTGTGAACCAAAATTTTCTACTATTTTATTTTCGTGCCCGACATGGGACCATATATTTATTTTGCATTTATTAAAAACATTACTATATAATAAATAAATAATTATATATATATATATATATATATAAAGTTAACATTAGGCTTGTTCAGTACACAAAGGATCCATATATAGTTTCAATAACAAATCTTTAATTATTACAAATTAAAGATTTTACAAAACGTTATTAACAGATAACAGCTAACATATGTTTTTTATTATTTTAAAATTCGTGAAAATGATATCAAGCCTTATCTTATTATTCACAAGCTTTACTGAAGCACCCTACTTAACACTCCCCTCCCAGTTCACAAAGTAAACTCAGAGTTATACGCACATAGGACAGAAATATTACTGAAAATAACAAAACAGGAGAAAAGAACATACGAAATTACAAATTAGAGCAATTACATGAAAATAATATTTAAAAAAAGGAAATAGATCCTTATAGGGCGTATTTTGGAATGACGTTCTCAGCAGTAATTGTGTCAAGAGGAATGCGAAGATGGCGTACATGTGTGTGCTTTACTCTTTGATTACCAGAATAAGCTCTTAAACTGATACAATATTATGCTCCCGTAACGCTATCACTTTGAATGGTAATTCGTAACGCTTGTCTCATTTTTGCCGACTCGAGGTTGGCCGCCGATATACCCTCATACCTAGTTTAATTTTATGCGATTCGTCGGCTAGACAGCTAGACAGGTGCGATTCGCCCTTGAGAGTTTTTCCCGAAGTAGTTTGGTGTGAGCCTTCTGACATATGTCCGCGAGTTGCTTACGCTAATGCAAAACCGCGTCACGGAAGTGTAAGTACCCCGTTGTGAGAATATCACCCCTGTTCCGTGAAGGAAGGCCGAACACTATTTCCACTGGTGTGAATCCCGTGGCTGAGTGGATAGTATTATTATATGCTAACAAAGCTCTAGGCATTGCTGCTTGCGCACCCAATCCCCTATGAAGCTGAAACAAGCGAAGGTTCTCGAGCGTTCTTAAACTCCCTTGCACCATCCGATGTAATCTTGTGGGGTAGCCCGTAGCAGGATATCGAGGTAAACATGCCTTCCCAAACTGCATCTGCCGTTTTGCCCGGTAAGGAGTGTGCCATCGCTAGCTTATTAAATGTATCTATTATCGTGAGCAGATGCAGTCCTTCCCATGGGAAGATGCCTACTTGTACTTCCAACAATGGCGAGTTAGGGGTACGAGTAACCTCCGAGTGAACGATAATGGGATACCGTTAATATTTGGCTGATGGCAGACCGTATATGTTCGAGTATTTTCGCGGATCGTCCTACGCATGTGATGCCAATAATATCGGCGTTTTAGAGCCGCAAGAGTTTCGGGGACTCATCTATGGTTAGTTTTGCCTTCGTGGTATGCTTTAATGAGGCCATTCTGTATATTACATTGAAAACAATGTGAAAAAATAATTAAAAGTAGATTAAGATACGAAGTCAGTCTTTAAAATGTTAAAGGCGAATCCTTTTTCTCTCTCGTTTTGTACCCATTAATCTGTTGGGTTGTTACCTTGTATGCATCATTCTTATCGTTATCTCTTGGCTAAGAGTCAGTCCCGGTGACCTATCAGATCTCACCTGAAGTCGTAGTCTTTTGGCCAAGCTATTTGGGGCATAAGAAATTCAGATACATAGACCATTAATGCATAGGCCTCACGTCTGTCTCTTAACTCTTATGTGAGCCTAGCTTCCAGAATGTAGGCTTGGCTTTCTTAAGCATTCTTTAACTTGAAAAAAACAAATTTACGCAGCTTTGACTCAGTATAGGTTAACATAGCGGATATTCGTTTCCATATCCTGAGAACACTCAGGTAGTTGTCCGAGTCAAGAATCGTTCCTCTGAACGCTCTTACCCCAATAAGATGAGACCTAAGGCGGGATCTTATCAAAATATGGTCTATTTGGTAGCTAAATGTTCCATTGGATGACTTTCTAATAGCTTTATGTATCTTCTTACCCAGAGGCACTTTTAAGAACACTCCATGGGAATGGCATATCAAAATAGATAACAAAAAATCATTTAAATAGTCAAATCTAGTTAAAATAGTAGAATTTAATTTAATTCTACAGTCAATATAACCTCCTTTCCATCATATCGGGAGCTCTTTATTGATCTTTCACCTCCATGCGTTAGTACTCTTATCCCAGACCGCTAAGTTAACGCGTGGAGGATTTTCCTCTCAAATCTTTCAATATTTCTTTCTAAGGTGCTAATTAGTGCCCAGGTTTGACAGCCGTAAGTCAAAACTGGATTTATCATAGCAGTTTACAACCTTAATTTGAATTTTTTTTTGGAATTTCAATACCTTCAAAGAATGAATAAAGCTCTGTTCGTGCTTTTTTATATGCTTATCTATTTTGACCGTTGGCCATTAATCGAGATAATTGTGGAGTCGAGGTATTTGAATTTGTCTGCTCTTGAGAATGATTTCTCTTTTACGCAAATCCTGTAATTTTTCTTTTATGTTAATTTACTAGTAAGCCGAGTTACTCTGCTTCTCTTATAGTCCGGGATCTACCGAAGATTTAACCACGTGATCAGCGGCAGAAGGTTTGAAAATTAAAAACAGTAGAGATCCATCGAGTCAGATGGCTAACTGGAAGAGTTTGGCT